TTGTCAGTGAATGGTGTTTTAACAAGGTTTCCTTACTTCTTCTTGCTATTGCAATCGCTCTCATAGCTTTCATCACCAAAAGTGTTCTCTTTTGCTAATTTCTCATTCATTTCACTCAACAGTTAAAGTCAAATTCTCATTTGCTAATTTCTCATTCATTTCACTCAACAGTTAAAGTCAAATTCTCATTCTATCAAAATACACTCTATAATTAATCATTTAACTGTTGAACTTTATTGAGCAATAATATTCGATTGCTGTATTGTTGATTCTAGCTGTCAACACTCGTCAACGTATCCAGTAAATAGTATATGCTACAGAATAAAAAACTAATTTGAATTGTGAAATGAAACGAGATGAAGTGAATGAGAAAAACTCATCAAGAGAACGATATTCGCGTGTATTAGCGATGAGAGTGAATACAACACGTCTGAAAAGAATGAGAATTCATTTAAATCAGTTGGAATTCTGATAGCGGAATATAGCGGAAGTGGCCCGCTATCGAGAAGCGATAGCGGGCCACTTCCGCTATCGCTATTCCGTTATTCACTCGAACTTCCGCTATTACTATTTATTTGATGAAATATTTGTGTGATAGATAAGCTGTTATTGAAATTTGTTTACGTTTACGTATTGATGATTACGTTTGAATAATCATATGACGAAGAATTATAATTATCATATGATTGAGTAAAATCTTTATCATGTAACTAACAACTGTCATTTACGTAGCTGTTTATTTAGGTGATAAATGCGATACGACATTATTGTTAGCTGTGATCATTTTCATTATATGATAAGTGTAAGTGAATAAATTGGTAAATTTTTATTCATCTGCATATACATAGAAGTCTGTTATATAATTCCCATGAATAAATGCTTTTATGTCGATACCATTAGCACGCATTAAAAGAGTCTCAATTCTGAGTCGTTTCATACTTCCGGATACTCTGCAAGGTTTGTTTCTTTTATTCGTTTGTCTTCACTTCATTCATTATAAACAAACAAGTTAAACTTTTGAATGCAAAGTCGTAAAGTTGTGATTGATAATTGAATATCCACCATGTATCGATCAGTAGCTGGCATATCATTAATGCAAAAGTGAAATTTGATTTTTATATGCGCGTGTGTATATGGATTTTTTGAAACATTTCAACTGGTAATCATCCTGAAAGTGATACTCAATTTGATGATGTCGCTATGAAATCTGTCAGGATATTTGAACAAAGTAAATTGGTCTGAGTGTACTATTTCTCATTCTCAAGTTTGATCTCATCATTGATGATTAGATTGACGTAACCTACAGTCATTTAGAAGTACGATTCTGAATTTTCGAAGATGGTCTTTGTATCACTACTACTCATAAAGATAATGCAAATTATTTCTTTTTCTCTGGTCTCATCCCTAGGAAACGTACTTTTTTGCTTAAACACAACATATGTAAAATTTCATAGAAAAAGGATCAGTTTGAAAGATTGCAAGACCAACTTCTTTTTCGCATTAGGACGGCCTTAGTGTATGAATTTGGAATGTTCTGGTTTTTATTCCGAAAAAGTGTTTTCTGACTGAGAATAATCTGTGAAAATTCATTGAAAAAAACTCAGTTTAAAAGATCTAGTCAACTACACTACAGAGTTTGGAACCGAAGGATTTATTTCGGTGGCAATCGGCGCGGCAAATTTTGAGTATTGGACAATGAAATTTTGAGTATTGGACGCTTTCGGTTGATGGCCACCGAAAATCGTGTTTGCTCGATTTGCGGACAATGAAAATCGTTTTTTAAATCAGTTTCGGTCGAGGGACGGAGATTCGTTGCTTATTTTTATCATTATTTTAAATTTTGCTGACGAATGTGAGATAGCGTTTTTTTTCCATTATACGAACTTCATTATTTAAAAAATGTCAAATTTCTCGACACAAGTTCACATCGAAAAGAAATAACAGTTTATTCAAATATACGTTGTAAGGTATGATTATGAAACTTCAGTCAATGAAAACGATCGAAGAAGAAGTTGTTGAGACAAAACGTCAGTTCAAATGACATTGCAAATAAACGATGAATGTTGATAAATATTTAGTAAGTAACACCTTGCCTTGTGGCACTCAGGCTTTTCCTTTCGAGTCATTTCATTTGTGATATAGGGCGAGTTAAAGTGAAACATGAACAGAAAGGCTTTGAAATGAATATTCATAACTAGAAACTGGTATCCATATAATTTGTGTTCCTTAGACATTTCATTCAAGGAAGTACTCAGCTACTCATGATTACAATTTAAAAATTCAGTTAGAATCGTGCGAAAATTACATCCACTCGCTGGCTGTTCACTGGAATCACATTTAATTGGAATAGAAAAAAAAAGATGCTCACTTTGATAATCGAGGAAGAATTGGCGGATCAAGTTGACAAAGTAAGCACTATAAGGTAACGGCAATTCCCATAAATATGCCTGCAACCGACCTTGTATTACATTTGCTGAAGCATAAGACAGAGCATAGAGCAGTAGCAAAGATGTTGACGGCCAGTAATAGTCGAGCGATTTGGTGGCCGTGACGGTTGCTTTCTGCTTTGATCGATGGCCATCCAAAGACGATTTTTAGTAACCATAAGTTTCAGCGCCTATCAATCCAATTGTACACAGTCTTCTTTGCCGCTTCAGGCGAAAAATAAGTGGATGGGTTGACCTTTCAGACCATTTTTTTGGCAAACTTTTATACAGATTGATTTAAATCAAAAAGGCACTTCTTCGGAAGTTGAGATCAAGAATATTCTGAAATTCAAAATTGAGCACTACTATGTTTTCGACGAAAAACCACACGGTCTGTCAATTTTTTAAACTGATCTCTTTCAACAAAATTTTTTACAAGCTGTTTCCACCTTAAGAGCTATTCTTCCCCGAGGTGAGGTGAAGTTTTTTAGTGAAAGAAATTTTATGTGCAAATAAGGACAGCCTTACTAACATCCATAACTGTTTTTATCATAAACAGTCAACTTTATCTCAACACAATGAAGTATTGTGAAATTTATTCGCAGAAGTTACAAATTTCGTTTGTGAAATGAAATTGAAGCGAAACGATATGCTCATTAATAGCAGCTAAGCCCAGTTACTAACCTTCAATTAAGATGCTGTATAAATTCTGTGAAATACAAATAATACTCATCATTTAGTTTTGTGTTTCCGTTATGTGAACATATTTAAACAACGGATATATCGAAAGTGATTTATTTCTGTAACATATTCATTTATCTGATAAACACGTTTGAAGCTAAAGTAGTATTCTGTTGATATTATTCGAAAGACTTCGTTTACATATATGAGGTTTGGATTAATATAAGTGTTAATCCGATTTATCGTTAACGAACATCAACAAATTTACGACTAATTCAAACGCTTACATCATATAAGCTTATCCGTTGGTTAAAAGCTTCTTATCCGTAACACTCTCGCACGATTCATATTTTAATATAAGTGTGTAAGCATCAATTAGTATAATTTGTGAACTTTTAATTTCTAGCCACCGTCATCCATTCATATTCCAATCATTCACTTTGTTCAGTTTGCTTAGCTTCATACTAAATAGGGTGTCGTCCGATTGCTGGCATTAGGTTCACGTTGCATTCATGCCCTCCATTCGTTTCGATTGAATCCGGCTTGGTATGTATCAATGATTCTCAACCTTTCCCCACCAACTCATCCCTAGAAAATTTTAAAATGTCCTCGCACCCCCTACAAGATCAGTTAAGATGCATGTTCACAACAATAATTAAGATGTTCTCGCACCCCTCACAACAGCCACTCTGTATCTCTCATCCATTACAGTGAGTGTCTGTAGTGTAGGTAAGTGCATCAGAGTACGTTCTAGCCTTTTCAAAAATACGTGCACTAAAGTCCATCCTTGCTTACTTTATACACATGTACGCGCTGATTCTCGCACCCTCGGCGGGTACGAGTGACCCAGTTTGAGAAATTCGGCGATATAAGAATGTCCGAGAGTCAGTACGGTTTTGAATCACCGAAAAATTGGAATCAAAATTGAAAATTTGCAAGAAATTAAAAGTGATGAAAAATTAGACAAGTTGTTTGATGATGTAACAACAGTTAATGCGTTTAAGATCTTTCTTAGAGTATTGCTTGAGAATAATTGCTGAGTTGAACATGTATGTGTGTGTGTGTTTGTACGTGGGAGCAAGAGGCTTATGCTCTGCAATAAATAATCTTTTTTTGTACGCTCATTTTATTTTTTCGAATTGTTTGTATGTGGCCGTTGTGTTTAAGCTAACACCACGCTGAAATTACATACCACAAAATACACATTGTATTGCAATACGTGTCGCCTAGACATGATGAATCGTTTATTTACCTATATATCTAGCCATTGTTTTAATCATTTCTCATAATTCACCTAAGATTTCAAAAGCGTTCATCGCTATATGAGCGTTACGTTGCGGCTTTAGCTGATCGATGCAGATTCATTCGATATTAATCGTTACCTCATCATTATTTCATAGGAGAAATTAAATGCAAGAAGAATCAAGTTCTTTCAGAGAGAGAGACGATATCTCGACTGATTTTATTTGTGTTCATGTTTTATCAGCAAAATTAAAATTTTATGACTGCATGCAATGTATTTATCAGCAAACAATGTATTTAAATTGATTGATAAGTTTCTAGTTCCAGTTTTTTTGATGAAGCTAGTACATATGTCAGTACTTAGTATGATTTTATGGTATGCGATTTGAATGTGAAATTTTAATGCGGTTTGATTTGATTCGGTTGTGTGATAAAAGATTTTACTTCAACGAGAACAATAAATATATTCAATTGTTACGGTGGGACTGAAACTTGAATAGTGTTTTAACATGTTTGAATGTTTTCGGAGATTTTAGGTGGTTTCGAACTACAAACTTTGTTTGAATAATTTACAACACTTTATTCTGCGATTTTTTCTGGGGAGATGCTAAGTGAGAACGCGAAAAATTGATGTTCATTGCAGTCTTGCTGATGGCGTTCAACATTCGTCCGCTAGTGTTGTCTGGACCATCGGGTGGCGGCAAGAGTACAATTATTACGAGAGCAATGCACGACTATCCGAATACTTTTGCACTGAGTGTATCTCGTAATTTTATTTCTAGTTTATTTGGTTTTCACTTGTTTTTCGTTGTTTGGCGTACTTACTCGGTCAAACAATGTGTGTCATCCTCTTAGAGGTGCCAATTGTCATTAGTAATTAAACTTTCCTTATCGTCAATTTTTACTTGTTTTAGCTGATGGAATAGGCGTGAGATCATCAGAGTCTTCGAAAATAACCATCTGAGAAGTTTAAAGTTCCACCCTCATCAAACAAAATAAATTTCAAAAAATTTGACACAAAATCGTTTGTATGTATAATGTTTGTCTCAAATGAAACAGCTGAGAAATTTTCACCATATAGATACAACACGTCAACCGCGACCAGGTGAAGAAAATGGCATACACTATTGGTTTAGTGATAAGGAAAGTATGCAGAAGATGATTGATGCGGGCGAATTCTTGGAACATGCTTCGTTTGGTGGGAATTTTTATGGGACCTCGTAAGGCAGCATTCGTTTATTCATTGCATTTTTTATTCAGCTCTAATAATTAACCTTCTAGTTTCAATCGAGCTGATAATTTCATTGGTGAGAATTAAGTTGAAATTGTGCGATTTCTGAAAAATCATCATAAAACGTGCTTAGTTCTGTACAATTATATGTAAATAAGCATTTATGGATTTCATTGTCTATTCAAAAAGCAAGTGAACAATCTATAGGAAGAAAAGAATTTTTTTTAAAGATTCCGTTTCATAGGAAAAAAGCAGTTGAGGATGTTCAGAAGACAGGTCGTATTTGTATATTGGATGTTGAATTACAAGGTGTTCGTAGTATCAAGAAATGTGATTTGAATCCTAAATATATCCTCATCAAAGCGCCGAGCCTAGCTGTTTTGGTGAGAAATTACAGATTTGTTTTTAGCCATTTCTCGAATACAAGTTTCTTTAGTTTCATTATTGCGCAAAATTCAGTTGTTATTAAAGCCCAAAAAAAGGGAACATTTTATCTATGATCGTTTTATAGTCATCACTGTTATCTGTTACTAAAACATAGGTAAATGATTTTATTTCAAAAGAAATTTTCAATGATAACATGACACGCTTCAATGATGCGAATGTGTATAGTTCTGATCGATAACCCACAAGACTGTATTATTATTATTATTCTCATTATTACGGTTTTTGAGGTCGTTAGCGAATAAAGATATAATCAGATGTATGCATAAATGGAAAGTTATTTTTTATGACCGTGATTTCTGTAGCAGAAGTGATCAGTTTTTGATCGGTTGAAACGTACGAATCTTTAAGGAGGAACGTTTACGTTCACGAAAAACCGAATCTGAAGAATCACTTGCGAAGCGTTTGAAGCACGCAAAAGAGGATCTTGATGCAGGTTCGAATTTATTCGTTTGTTTTAGTTGGGATTTCTTATTTCATTCATCAATAAGGAACACAAATAAACGTACGGTGCTCTCAATTTTATAATATATGAAACCGCGAATTTTATTCCCGCTTTTTGAATAGATTTTCAAAGGGAACGAAACTTCTGTGAAAGGTCCGTCTAGAATTCTTTTTTCTTTATTATGAAATTTGTTCTTCCATGATGGAAAGCATACAGTCATAAACGATTGCTGATATTTTATCAAAGTATGCATGATGAATTTCTGACTAATTGATGAGTGATAAATGAAATGGAAGTAACAAATGAATGTGAAATAAAATTGTGGAATTTCAGTGGCATCTGATCCGAGTTTGTTTGATTTCGTGATTGTTAATGATGATCTCGAAAACGCTTATCAGCAGTTTATCAGTGCTATTGAACCCGAGCTTAAAGCTGTTAAAACGGCGCAAAAATAGATTGAAATTGGTAGTTGAGGAAAACCTCGAAGGCGCTTATCAGTAGATTATCAGTGTTACAGTAAACTATTTCTTTTGAAATATTACTTGTTTGATAACCTTTTGTCACCATCGGTCACCCCATAAAAGTCATGACTCATGACGACATAATGTTATGGTCTTTCTTTCATTTGGATCTTTGATTCATCTAGATATTGTTTTCTACGGTATCATGCCAGTTTAAATACGGCATTGCAGGTGTTTATTTGTACGCATGAGCTAATTATGGACATAGGGATCGATTTCAGTTGGAATATCCGTGATATTCAGTTAATTGTTCACATCTTCTGTTGTTGTGTGCTTGTAGTATCCTATCCAAATATTTTAGGTGTCTTTCACTGTTGATTGCATTAGCACTTGTATTAATTTGTGCTGTTAATTAGCTGTTCGAACTCCTCAAAATGAGCACTGTGATTTTATCATAATGAATTAATTGAATAATTGATTTATTTACATTTTGATAGATCACTCCTTCATTTATTAACGCGTAATTTTTGTCCAAATGTGTAATTCACTGTCGCAATGCTAATCATAACAATTGTTGATACTGTTGCTGTCGTTGTTGTGATATGAAACTGATTGTTTTCGTTACCGGTGGTATTTGACTTGATCAGTCATCTTATAAATTTATTTTTTCATTTTATGCTCTCGTCTGATATATAGCATTCAACGTTTCAACGCGCTAAAAATCTTCATTTATCACTTAATCAGTTCTTAGAATATTAACATCAATTGCTTTAAAAAATCATTCACATCATGTTATACATGTTCCTGTATCTCATTTTTATCAGCTGAAACCTGTGTTTTTTCATCAAGGAAACCTACCGGATTCCTTGATGAAGTGGAAATAATGCGAAATAAATGCATTCTCTTTTATTTTTCAATGAAATATTCTTACCCGTATAATAATAACAGCAGTGATCCTCGTAATTCCTCGTCAACCAAAAAAGAATGCTATGTTCCATGTGCATATTCAATAAAATGATTTTACATGCAGCATTCAAGCATCAATCGTTGATATTTCAATATTTTCACCGAAACCTCAAATGGTTTCTCAGTTCCACCATTCAGCTGTTTTAGCTGTTCTTTAGATGATATTGTTCGGGTTTCCATCTGAAATTTCGCTTGAAAATCAATCTTCTTTGAGCTGAATATGAATGTGCATAATATCAAATTTCTGTCCGAAAGGTCCATATAAATCGGGCAGATCATTGCCTTTATCGGGATAGCAATGTAACTGATGTTAATACTCGACCACTCCGTGGAACTCGTACGGATATGCATGCGAGCACACATAGGTGTACTTTAGCCTCTTGCGAGCTTCAGCATAAGCACGTGCCTCAACTTATGCGTAGTAGTAAGAGTGGGCTGAGGCCTCTCGTGTACTTGTGCACTATTAGTGGTTTTACGGGTTGCCAAATATTCAAATTCTTGTTTATGCGGGTGAATGTGTTGGTGTCAAGAGAAGGAAT